TATTGCCTCCCCAGAAAAACTGTGTTTGGTCTTTTATGTTTTTCTGTATTTTTAATGAAGGTTTTTGTGTTTTTATGCATTTTTGCCTTTTCGCGAAGTGAGAACTGAATTTATTGACTGAGAAATATATCTCTAATGAAATTTGAGGAAATATGCAGTGAAAAATGTAAATAATTTAATAGGTCGTGCAAGAAAATCATGTGGTGTCCACATCAGACTTTTTAAATCAGTTTGAGAGATTTCATAATTCAACAAATTGTGAGCAATTTCGTTTCTTCATACATTTATATCACCAATAATAAAGGTGAGAGCAGCTTTGATAAATTTATAAATAAAAATGGCTTATATCTTTATCAGTGCTATTTAATTATCGATTTCGTTATTCAGGCGCATTCAAAATATGAACTCAATAGCTTATCAGGAAGTAGATTAGAAACCGATGACAGTCTTGAAATTTAGGAATTGAAATGTCGTCAAGGAAAGTTACTTAATCTTTTGAGGCTTCAATAGACGCCATTTACAACGGACATTTCCTTTTCACAGCTTCCTTCACGATGAAGAATTTCATAAAACTTTCCACTCTGAGATGACCTTCTTCTTATGATGCAGATGATGACTTTTCTTTTTCCGTAGCTGAAGTTGATGATGTCATTATGAGTTTAAAATTATGAAAACTCCTGAACTGGACAGAATCACAAATGAAATGATTCGAAATCTTCATAGTGTTTGTCCACTATCTTATATAAATTATTTAATGCCTGCCTAGATTAGAAATACTGATCCAACGGTTTGGAAGAAAGCTAGAATTGTGAAAATTACTGAAGTTAAATTGCTTATTATTGAAAATATCAGATGTGTCAGCCTTCTGCCATGCTTGAGTAAATGTCTCGAAATATTTGTACAAGCAGCAAAAATATTTTGGATGAAGCTCAGCATGGCTTTACGCCTCAGCGTTGAGCTAAATTTGCACTTCTGCGCTTGAATCATACAGTAAAAAAATGAAAACGTAAAAATTAAGTCACGATTTTAAAGTTTCTGGATATAAAAGGGGCTTTTGATAATGCTTGGTGGCCAGCAATCGGAAATTTGTTGAAACTCCTAATGTACCTAGGAACATTTTCCACCTGATCCAGGATTTTTGCATACTCGCACTGTAGAACTTGCTCTTGGTAATATTACGAAAATACAGTCTGGAAAAAGGCTGTTTTCAAAGATTCGTTTCTGGACCCTTTTTATGGGATCTTATCTGTGCAGTACATGTTTGCGTAGCAACGAACATCATAGTCAGAAGTTTATTTGATATGTAATACATGAAACACCTCATTCCTGTTGTAGAATTATCAATAGTGATGAGCATAAGTACCAGTATTAAACTCCAGAGAATTAACAGGCCTGTATTAACGTCCTCTTCACAGTCCCAAAAGGCAAATGTAAAGTCGACATTACTTAAAGACACAGTATGGTATGGAATTTCTGTGGTGTGGAATATGATATAATTTTGCCATATTCACTTGAAAATCAGGTATGCGAAGTAATTAGTTTGGTTACGATGAAGCTCATTGTGCTCAAAACTTTACTTTTGGTTCTCATAGTAACGAATCCTCTTGAAATCTCACTGGCCATCACCAGTGATGATTTCAAGGGGAGGCGTCAACAACCTCCACAGCTCGAATCTTCATGACCATTTTTCGGAAGAAAACATCGCGGACCAAAAACGTCGCAGAGAAATTAATGCATTGAAAAACATCATAGTAAAGAGTATCGTGAGAGTAAAGAAAGCAAGAAGACAACGTCGTCATAAATAGAATCGTGGGAGAAAGGAAAGCAAGGAGTAAAGATCGCAGTTCTCAAAGTCGTGATAGAAAACTGAGCAGTTCAAAGTTTCGCAGTTTTAAAACATCGTTTTGTAAAATATCTTAGCAAACTAAATAGCAGACATGCGTTTTTAGACATTTGTTTGCGCATGCTCCGTATTGGTTGTTGTTGGCGCATGCTCTGTAATGATATCTATATTGCATATGCTTGCGAGATTACAGCCATCTGGCCATGTATTCAAGCTTCCGTTAGTGTTCTAACCATGTAATCTGGGTGTAAAAACTGAGCATGGTTTATCATGATTTAAATGTGAATAAAAATAGTATATAATACAGTCCACTGGGTAAAATTTGGGCAAATATGTGAGTTACTATTGAGAGAAGAGTAAAAAAATTTAAAAGTTTTATATAAGTTTTCTCATAAAGATTTGTGAACGTAAGAAGAAATGAGGAATATTTTTACCTCTATATTTCATAATTTGAGCGAACTGTTAAATTTTTACTGAAAAAGGCAAGAAGGATTTTCGAGTATTCAAAATATGAAAGTGTTTAGAAATTAGTAGAATTTTAAACTTACTCAGTTAACTATTAAAACCCATTATTTAATGTTTAATTAATGTTTTAATTAATGTTTTTTAAAAATTGTTAATTAATGTTTTTAAAAAAGTTGCGTTAATATTTTTTAATGAGAAATAGAGTGAAAAAAGTAGAAAAAGGAAGATGAGTAACTGCATGAGGTTATCGATACTAAATTAATTTAATTAACTATCAGATCATCTGCAATATATCCCGATTCGATGATTTTATGTGCACCGATATTTCGTGCAATGATATTTTGAAACTGTGAAGTTTTTTTAAATGCTTTATTTTCTACGATGATGTTTTATATCTCCGTATTTTTTAACTGCAATACTTTCTCTTTGCTTTTTTTTTTTTTTTTTCTCTCACGATGTTTTGCTCGACGAAGTTTCCCTCTTGCGTCATTAAGTATTGAGTTATGGAGACATAAATTGGCCAGCCCTCTTTCCTGATATAGTTCTACCGATATCTTTCGGGCTACTTCAAACACAAAGTATATGAAACACGTCCCCATGCCATTATTCCAGTTTAAAGGCCGAATTCGTTAACGTACTCAGCAATGCTTCAACGCTCATTGACGTCCTTGCAGTCTCGACCGCAGTAAACCGTATCAAATATCACTTATCTTGCATGATATTCAAAACACGATGCTATCACAGAAAATTCCAAAGCTTCTATAATAAATATTATATGTAAAAAATACGTATTTTTACCTATAGTACTTATTGTTTTGATTCATTTCTTGGTTGGTATTCTAGTTCTTTCCAAAAGCGTAAAAAATATTTCTCCCGACTTCTTAACGTGCCTTTGTGGTGTAGTGGTCTGCACGCTGGGCGCGTATTCCAGAGCCCCGTGGTTCGATTTCCGGTGAAGGCGTTGCTCATGTTTCATCTTTCCTGCTTAAAAAATATCTAATGTCTCTACAAGCGTAAGTTGCTTTTAACGCCCTTTGTATAAGTAGTTCTGTCGATAGCTGCGGTAGCACCGGCAATGATATAGCGCCAAAAACAAAATGCAAATAAACATAACTTTTTAGAATTTTTTTGCAAATGCCATTCATTAATGATTTAAAAAACTTATGCATCCTTTCTGGTTTTTAATTACTCTATTATTTCTCACAGTTGTTTAGTGGCTAAATCAAAATGTCTGTTTTGCATTTTATTACCTAAATAAAATTGTTGTTTAAGTGCTATTTCTATTGCTTGTTGACATCAGAATTTCTCCGTAATGAATGCGGTATTTAAAAACTTTATGCATCCTTTCTGTTTTTTAATAACTCTGAGATTTCTCACAATTGTTTAGGAGCTAAATCAACGAATAAATCAAAATGTCGCACTTGCCTTATATTATTAAAATAAAACTGATTGTTGCTGAAGTGATAGTTCTATTGCTTATTAAGATTAGAATTTCTCTGTAATGAACGCGGTATTTGTTTTTATGATTAAAAATTTATGAACTTTCTGGCAACATTGCTTTGGCAGTTTTCTGGACATCCTTCGGGAATAAGACTAAAATTCGAGATGCTTAACTGATGCATCATTTCTTAAATGTAACTGATGTATCATTTCTTAAATGTGCGCAAAATTTCAAGTTGATCCATTAATTGATATTGGCATGATTGAACAAAATACGTGTAGGAAACTTTCTATGATATATATTGTGAGCCTGTAACAAAAAATAATTTTAATATTTTTTCCATGCCACCGCAATAATCTGAAGTATTATTTTTATTCGAAAAGCAGCCTTATTTAGAATTGTTTTCTCGAATAAGTTTCCGTATTGCTGTCGGGTGTTACGTTTGAAGGTTACATTCTTCGCGATACACGATTTGCTTATTTTGGTCAGTAATGCCTTAAATAAGAGAAATCCTTTGCAATATACGGTTCTGCAGAGGTCAGAATAATTTTTCACGCAGTTGTAGCTACGTTTAAGAACCTTAAATAAATGTGCTAGATAAATAAAATAAATGCGTTTACATTTGCAGAAATAATATTTTCTTATATTTGCACTATTATTAGCACAGAAGGGCTAATATTCTTGACAACGAATTTTCCTTGAGTCACTAAAAGCGTTCAATCACTTTTCAAATTGTTGCCCCTTAATGCTATGCCCTATATTATATTTAAAGAAATTATATAATGAAGAATCTGCGTGAATGTATGCATGTTTCTCGCACTGTGAAAAAACAATGGGGCCTAGAGGCATCCATATTTGAATAACGTAGTCCTCCACCTGAATATGGGCACCTGGAAGCCCGCAACTTGGAATATGAAATTTGTTTTATTATCTATTTCGTATTTTGTAAAACTTTAACGAGTTTTTGGGTAACAAACTCAACGATTTCAAAGCAAGTAATGGCAACACTGTATAGAAAACAAATTATCTCCAGCGCACAAGACTGTCTATTGGAAATTCCGAAAATATATCATTTTTAATACTTAAATGCCTAAATGCTGTCGAAACATGTACGTGTATGTAAGTGAAAAAAAACTACCCTTTAGGCTTAATATAAATACTGCAAGCTCTCAGATTTCTTACATGATTTTATTCTCTTAGATGCACTTTATTTTCCTAATTCTATTACATAATTTTCACTTTTTATTATAGGTAAGAACAGAAGAACAACGAAACTCTGCAGACTGATGCAGCAATACCTGGAGAATTGCTTAGAAATTCTTAGACTTCAAGTATATTTTTTAAGAAAAGACATAGCAGAGGAGGAACCTTTTTTCTATGATACAGAAGTGAAGAGAACTGAATAACTGTAAAATAAGATTTTAGAACTGCTACTGAATAAAATAAACTTGGTTATGGCTGTAATTTAATTAATGACTGTTAAGAAATTGTAAAAATATTTTACATGAGCAATGAATGAAATATATTGGAAATGTAACTTCCATGAACTATGAAATTTGTGTAAATAAGAGAAAAATAAACTTACGTTTGGGTAGATTTTGTATAAATCACTATCTCTTTTTATGGCGTCTGATACAGGTCCTTCTTCTTTAAGGAGCAAAAAACACGAATTCAAAGAATTGATAAAAGCCGTCCCAATCTAATACACACACTGGCCACTTAGAAACCTTTCAGATTTTCATTTGAATACGCGCTAGGGATAAAGTACGTAATATTTAACCCGAAGGGATAATTTTTCCAGAAGGACTATTAATCGCGTTTTGACATTTTGCGTCGATTCACTATAAATGTCGGTTCTCTTTTCAAATTGTAGCCACCCAATATTATCGCCCTATATTATATTTAAATAAATTAAATAATGAAGAATCTGCATAAATGTATGCACGTTTCTTGCATTGTGATAAAACCACGGTACCTAGAGCCATTAAATATATGGAGCCATAGTATATAAAGGAATCCAATTTTGAATAACGTATATCTCCAATCGGATATGAGCATCTGGAAGCCTAAATCTGGAATTTGGCTTATTACCTGTTTCACATTTTGTAAAACATTTATGAGTTTAATTAAGGAACTCAACGATTTCAAAGCTAGCAATGGCACCATTGTGCGAGAAAAAACATTTTTAAATCCAGCGCGTGAGACTGTGTATCGGGAATTCTAAAGATATTCTCTAAATATTTTGCGATATTGCTTTCGGATTGAATTTTATGGTCTAAGGGATGAAATTTAATAAATAAAAATAACACACAAAGCGTTAAAAAAACGCCCCTTATTGGGGCGTAATATGAAATCTGAAAGCTTTCAGATTGTGGGTTTTTTTTTTTTTTTTTTTTTTTTTTTTTTTTTTTTTTTTAATGACGTGGTTTGCACGTGGTTGGAATGCTAGTATAAGTAAGGCGTAAGAGTACTTTTCATGATGAATGAAGTAAAATGGGAGAAAAAAAAGATCTTTCACCATTTGCAAAAGGGCTTATTGTTGCTACCCGTTCAACAGAAGCCTCGATTTCGAAGACAGCAAATTTCATTAGGTTCTCAAAAGCAATCATATCAAAGGTTTTCAAAAGCTGGAATCAGAATCCTCAGTCCTTCTCTAGACGACTTAACTGTGGTTCCAGCACAGTTTTGGGTTCGGTGGTTCGAGCACACTGCAGAACAGGGACTCTGCTGTCCTTCAACTGGCACAGATCGTCAATCCAACAGATTTCAGTTCGAACCATGCGCAGAGAATTGCAGAGGATAGTCGGGCGCCTGCGAGAAAACCACTCATTTCTGACCGACATGCAAAAATTCGTTTGCGGGGATGTCGGGAAAGAAGACACTGGACACCTGAGGATAAAAAAACGAGGAATGTGGTCGGATGAATGGAAGACGTCGAATGTGCCGAGAACCCTACAAAGCCTGAATTGATCTTGAATTATTCGCACTGTCTAAGAGTCTGGTGGGAGTATCATGATATAGGACATGCTCTGCTGGCTGGTGTTCTTCGAGGTAAACAACAACCATGAGATACTTAGATATACTGGCAAGTCAAGTGCACCCTGCAAAGTTGCATTTTTACCCGAATGGCGACGGATACTTCACGGACGATAATGTAACTATACATCTGCCAGGAGTGTTCAAAATTGGTTCTCTGAACATCAGTCTGACTTCTAGCCCCTTTCCTGGCCACCGCATAGCCCGCCCTATAGAAACCTCCATCTTAACCCCATAGAAAATGTGTGGGATACGGTGGAAAGACGCACCGAGAGCACTTTCATCTTCCATTCTATTTACGAGATCTAAAACGCTGCATAGCCAATGCATGGCGTACTCTGGACGTAAATGCACTCCAGAAGCGTGTAGATTCGATGCTCAAACGAATCTGAGTAGTTATCCGTGCAAAAGGTGGTCCAATAAGATATTGATCTTGGTTTTTTAATTCATTGACCAGTGTGTGTAGTTCTCTTGAAGAAGAGGGACCTAACTTTATATTTTATGTTGCTGTTTCTTTTTACACATGCTAATTGTTATATAATAATATTTAATATGAATTTTTTATTCTGCACGTCTATTAATGTCTTAACGGTATATAATGAAACGTAACCAAACGCTATTAGAAATGCATGTTATTTTTAAACGAACTCTTTGTTGTACTTACTGTACATAATTAGATAATTTTATTATGATAAATCATGCAATATTTGGAAGAATTTTTGGCATGATAAAATATTGTTAAGTTTTAGCCACGGTAGTATTCGAAATTATTATATATTTTCATGCTGCTTCCGTATTCCTTTTCATCATGCTATAGAGTCATTAGGTTAATCGGTGTAGGAGACGGGAAAAATGGGCAGTTCCCTCACTTGAATTCGAACCCTAGACCTCCCGACTACCAACCGGAAGTGCTATCCTCTTACAACCCAATGATGCGCAGAAGAAGGGAGAAAATAGGTTACAGTGCTATAATTTGGGGGGACCACTCTTAACATATTAAAAAAAAAATTGACTTGAGAATGCCTTTGGCAGAGATTTTCTAAATTTGTTTTATGTTTATGTTACGCTTCAACGACTATATCATCCTCTCGCCTTAGCAAATGTTGCCATTTGGTAAGTGTTGGGAGCTATCAGATGTTTAGTTTAACTTCTACGGGCATTGCATGTAATAAATTCTCAGAAAGTTGCCCTTTGGCAAAATTTAAAATTTAATTTATCTTAATCGACTTGTAATTACTGAACTAAAAGCACATTTCTTAATAGCTTAAATATTTAACATTGGGGAACACAATTAATGTAGCTAACGAAAAAATTTTTAACGCCATATATAGATATGGCGTACTTAGACAGAATCATTTAGTTTTCATTTCAGTTCTGGTCTGTTAAGAAACAAAGTACGATATTATTAAAGGTGTTCTTTAATAGAGCTTGCGAACCGGATTTTCCACTGAAAGTTGCAGAAGTTAAAATAATCATTATTGGATACTTCAAGTCTTCTTTTCAATAATTTCACTTTAAAATAATCATTATTGGATACTTCAAGTCTTCTTTTCAATAATTTCACTATTATACTTACATTATTAGTATTTAATCAGTATAATTTAATGAGTGCCTATGAGAAGTTTATACAGGTAGAGGAATGTTTTCCTAATACCTGTAAACAAAAACTTTATAACTATTTATTTATCAAGAGCAAAAAGTAAGATTTAGAAAGTCAGGGCAATACGTTTGGTGTCGACATTATTTTAAATTTTGTTTCCAGACCATTATGTTTTGTACAATATTATACAAGTATTTAACAACAATAGTCGAAGAATAGAGTGCTTTCATAACCATAGCAGAAATGTTCAACAATTTTAAAGAAGGATTGCCAACAGGAAAGCAAAAATATTGTTTGACATATACGATAATAAGAAGGATATCGGTAGCGAAAATAACATCGACAACTTGTTTACAGTATGCTGTTTCCAAAAATCAAGTACGTAAGAATAAATTCGACGTAATTGGAAATTTAAGAAAATGCGTAAAGCACATTTGCGTTATTGTCGCTTATAACAAATATGTCAAATTTCGAAATACGCCACTATACAAATTAAGGTATATTTTCGGAGATTTTGAATAAAAATTTCGAATTTTTTTGAAGGTGTAACTATAAACACATCATCTTTGAAATGGTTGTAAAATCTTAATAGGTTATAATTGAAAAAGTTTTCAAAAAAATTATAAAAAGTACTAAAAATACAAATTTAAAAAAGAAATCTAATTTTCGAACTGTGAAAGAAGGAATCAAGTAAGGTTATTAAAAAGAGAGATATTAATAAACATAAAGTAAATTCAATTAACACTGAGGAGCTAAAATTTTGAGAACTAATTTAAAAAAAACCTAATCGTGTGGTTTTAGAAAATTTGGAACTTTAACATAATTTGAGTCGTAAAATAAAAATATGGAAAAGAATAGGTATGTTATTTCAGAAAAAGTTCGATTTTGTTCAGGATACCTATTTTAGAACAAGGCTATACAGAAGTGCATTGTATAACTTAAGTCGCGCTTTCGAGATATTGAAAAACGCAAGTTAAATTCCTTCTATCGGCCTAATAGAACAGATAATATCCTTTTCTTCCTTTTTTGTGCAAGGTGTACATCCCATTTTGTATATAAAAAAATAAGTTAAGGAAACAGTTGAAACTTTCATTAATAAGAGATGTGACCACCTCTTATCTTCACAAAGGTTCTGCAGTGGCGCCCATATTTTCAAGTAAGAGATCAAGTCAACCAGAAAGCGATAACTGTCTTTCCTTTAACATGAAATTTTTAAATCTTCGAGAATGGTTAGAGGACTAAATGGCAGAAATAGCACGTAGAAGAATATTCAAAAGACTTTTGAAAGGGCTGAATTTAAGTGAAAATGGTAGCCACTTTATGAGACGAAAAACTTTATTCTCTAAACACACATTCATTATTTTTGTGGCATGGGGAAGAACAATATCGTCAATAAAAATAAATGACGCTTTAATTACTGCAGCTTACAGTTTTATCTCGAAATCCTTTGTATCATTATAGTATCTACTGAAAGGTGCAAGACGTGTGATGGCTCAAAGAACATTGAACTCGCATCATTACCCTGCCAGTACGGAAGACATGATATTCAACGGTGTTACTTGACTTGTCTTATTCAGATCTTCGCATACTTATTAACCCAATGCCGATCTTGACTTATCCGTAAAAGTTTTGTTGACTCTTCAGAAACTTTCTTAGATCCATGCTAAAGACGTCTTTTCAGATAACCTTCTCTGAGTTCATAGTTCTTAGTTCGTAAGTTCTCTTAAAGTATTGACTGGTAAATTATTCATTTCCTCAAAAAAGTTGTGAGCATCCATTACTCTCTGACTGCCTTCAGCTAAGAGCGTCTTAAAGTCAGCCACCTCGGGGTGGTAGCAAAACGTAAGTAATAATCCTTTGGGGAACAATGATTGGTGACCCTTCCCTTGCCCAGTATAGAGGCCTCTTAGTTGGGTCATTTCCGTGTAGTGTCTAAATGACGGAGCACGCGCCTATGGTC